TTATATATATGATATCATTCTTAACAACATCATTAGATATAGTATCTTGTTGATATGATGTTTGTGATAAATCATTAAGTTATACATATGATATCATTCTTAACAACATCATTAGATATAGTATCTTGTTGATATGATGTTTGTGATAAATCATGAAGTTATAAAGAAAATATCTAGAGAACATCATTAGATATAGTATCTTGTTGATATGATGTTTGTGATAAATCATGAAGTTATAAAGAAAATATCCAGAGAACATCATCAGATATAGTATCATGTTTTGAATATGATGTTTATGATAAATCATGAAGTTATATATACAATATCATTCTTAAGAACATCATTAGATAAAGTATCTTGTTGATATGATGTTTGTGATAAATCATTAAGTTATACATATAATATCATTCTTAACAACATCATTAGATATAGTATCTTGTTGATATGATGTTTGTGATAAATCATGAAGTTATAAAGAAAATATCTAGAGAACATCATCAGATATAGTATCTTGTTGATATGATGTTTATGATAAATCATTAAGTTATACATATAATATCATTCTTAACAACATCATTAGATATAGTATCTTGTTGATATGATGTTTGTGATAAATCATTAAGTTATACACATAATATCATTCTTAACATCATCATTAGATATAGTATCTTGTTGATATGATGTTTGTGATAAATCATGAAGTTATAAAGAAAATATCTAGAGAACATCATCAGATATAGTATCTTGTTGTATATATGATGTTTGTGATAAATCATGAAGTTATAAAGAAGATATCTATAGAACATCATTAGATATAGTATCATGTTTTGAATATGATGTTTATGATAAATCATGAAGTTATACATATGATATCATTCTTAAGAACATCATTAGATATAGTATCTTGTTGATATGCTGTTTGTGATAAATCATGAAGTTATAAAGAAAATATCTAGAGAACATCATCAGATATAGTATCCTGTTTTATATATGATGTTTGTGATAAATCATGAAGTTATATATATGATATCATTCTTAACAACATCATTAGATATAGTATCTTGTTGATATGATGTTTGTGATAAATCATGAAGTTATAAAGAAAATGTCTAGAGAACATCATTAGATATAGTATCTTGTTGATATGATGTTTGTGATAAATCATGAAGTTATAAAGAAAATATCTAGAGAACATCATCAGATGTAGTATCCTGTTTTATATATGATGTTTGTGATAAATCATGAAGTTATAAAGAAGATATCTATAGAACATCATTAGATATAGTATCATGTTTTGAATATGATATTTATGATAAATCATGAAGTTATACATACGATATCATTCTTAAGAACATCATTAGATATAGTATCTTGTTGATATGATGTTTGTGATAAATCATGAAGTTATAAAGAAAATATCTAGAGAACATCATCAGATGTAGTATCCTGTTTTATATATGATGTTTGTGATAAATCATGAAGTTATAAAGAAAATATCCAGAGAACATCATCAGATATAGTATCATGTTTTGAATATGATGTTTATGATAAATCATGAAGTTATATATATGATATCATTCTTAACAACATCATTAGATATAGTATCTTGTTGATATGATGTTTGTGATAAATCATTAAGTTATACATATGATATCATTCTTAACAACATCATTAGATATAGTATCTTGTTGATATGATGTTTGTGATAAATCATGAAGTTATAAAGAAAATATCTAGAGAACATCATTAGATATAGTATCTTGTTGATATGATGTTTGTGATCAATCATGAAGTTATAAAGAAAATATCCAGAGAACATCATCAGATATAGTATCATGTTTTGAATATGATGTTTATGATAAATCATGAAGTTATATATACAATATCATTCTTAAGAACATCATTAGATATAGTATCTTGTTGATATGATGTTTGTGATAAATCATGAAGTTATATATATGATATCATTCTTAACAACATCATTAGATATAGTATCTTGTTGATATGATGTTTGTGATAAATCATTAAGTTATACATATGATATCATTCTTAACAACACCATTAGATATAGTATCTTGTTGATATGATGTTTGTGATAAATCATGAAGTTATATATATGATATCATTCTTAACAACATCATTAGATATAGTATCTTGTTGATATGATGTTTGTGATAAATCATTAAGTTATA